ACTTGGGAAAAATCTTATGTGAATTAATTTTTCTACCTCTAAACCAGCTGTGTAGGAATCATGTACCCATGGCTTTAAAGCTTGATTTCAGATGCAGTCTCAAATTGAGGCCTCAACTGTTTAAAATCAGATTTTGTCTTCATAAGACTATTAGTCCCACAATAAGAATCAAAGATATTTTTATCATTTCTCTTGGGATTTTATTAAAACAAAATAAAGATTGTAAACTGAGCAACTTCTACATACATTCTACATTTACAGACTAACACATTTCAAGGAACTCACAGAAAAAAAGGAAACATCTCTAAAGCAAGAGATGATTTTTCTATTTGCTTTTCTATTTGAATGACAATTTTTATTTGGGGAGGCCTATGTCTATCAAATAGACAGTAGCATTTGTGGCCATAGCTGTGGCCAAAAGGCAACTATCTAAATCCTGCAAACAGTTGGAATAGCAACAAAGGAATTTTTGGTCTCACTCAAACTACAGAAATGATGGGGCCTCTCTCAGGGCAGGTGCCAAAATACTTAATTTATATATATTATTGATTTCAGAGAGGAAGGGAGAGGGAAAGAGAGATAGAAACATCAATGATGAGAGAGAATCATTGATCTGCTGCCTCCTGCATGCCCCACACTGGGAATAGAGCTTATTACCCAGGCATATGCCCTGACCGGGAATCGAACCGTGACCTTCTGGTTCATAGGTCGATGCTCAACCACTGAGCACGCCAGCTGGTCCAAAATACTTTTAATCACACTAGACCAGGGGTGGGCAAACTTTTTGACTCGAGGGCCACAATGGGTTCTTAAACTGGACCGGAGGGCCGGAACAAAAGCATGGATGGAGTGTTTGTGTGAACTAATATAAATTCAAAGTAAACATCATTACATAAAAGGGTACGGTCTTTTTTTTTTTTTTTAGTTTCATTCATTTCAAACTGCCAGATCTGGCCCGAGGGCCGTAGTTTGCCCATGGCTGCACTAGACCAAGGCCATATATAATACATGAAAACCAAACCTCTCTCCTCAGCTCTTTGAGAGTAGTTATGACCAAAGTAGATGTTATTTTAATCAAATCCATTTAAATTATGATTTAAATTACTAAACAGGATGATTCAATTTAATGTTTTACTTTAAAAAATGCATTTTTGTTCCTCTGACATAACCTGATTACATATTCTTTAAAATTCAGTTGAGTATGAGTTTCACTTTTAGAAGATACACTTTATATATTTAAATCTGATTTATGGAAACCATAGAAGTGTATCCCTCAATAATTCTAGATGATTCTGTGCAAAAAGAAAGTTTTAATATTCCTTTGTGCTCTTACTGCCCTCCCTCTTTTATCTTCAGATTCTCTTTGCTTACCCAGATTCCTTCATTTTAAAGAATTATCCATTCATTTGTCTGCTTGAAACTTTGTATTTTTGGAGAGAAAGCCAAAGAATGATTGTCTTATCATCATAAAATGCTATTAACAACATAGTTTCCACAGATAAAACCCATAGATGGAAAAGAGAAACATGATATCTGGCATACAAAACAATATTTTTTACTTTGCCACCTACCAAACTTGCTTTCATTGGCTCCCATTACCCCTTAATTTGGTCAGGTGCCATTCATTCATGCCTGAAGTCAACCTTTTAAGAAAGAAGGCTAGGAGCCAGGCACTATGCTTAGCACATGTATGAATTTAGTCTGACAAAGCTTACAGTTCAATAGAGAACACAGATAATTCACAGTTATTGTACAAACAACTACACAACAATGATAGATATGAAGAAGTGGAAGGTGGTAGGGCAACTCCATGCAGATTGGGAGGGGGAGTGTCAAGGAAGGCCTCTCTAGAAAGTAACATTGCTTTTTAAATTATTTACTCATAAAACTTTTTTAAAAAGATTATACAAATATATTGTCTCAAATATTATAGCCATTCCAAGGTAAGATAGGGTGTGGGAAAGAGAAGTCTGTTACTTCTGTTACTGTGGTGCCTTGAGCAACTAATGGTAAGGGACATGGTTCCCTCACAAGATTATTACCACAGTCAAGTGTGACACATGTAAAGTACTCAGTATGTAGTGGAAGTCCAATAAACTATAGACAATAATTAATAATTATACAATTTATGATTTATATTGGACTTTGGCATGTCAAAATAAAGCCAACTTTCCATTCAGTTCTGTCTTTACAAAAATATTCAACTGAAAGAGAAAATTCAAAATTCCATTAAAAATACACACTATGACTTCTGTGACTTTTTTCACTTGGATTGGCCAATTGTCATCATTTTGTTGTACAATGGCAGATATATAAACAGAGAAAAAAGAACAGTTGACACATCTCTGCTCAACAGTACTACCAATATTAGAAAAAGATTATAGAATTGGAGCTTTTGAAGTAGAGCTTTTAAAACAGCAAACTCCCATAGGGCAGTTAACCACTCTACTGAGAGGGTATAGGCAGAGCCCTTCAGAGGCAGTTCAAATTCACACAGCCCAAGAAGCATTTCCCACTCCATTTATAGCTTCTCTCATTCCGAATTCCCTCAATACTTACAAACACACAACCCACATGACAGAGCTGGTCACACTGCGCATTCCCTCATTAGGCACTCACTGTACCTCCAGGTACAAAACACAAGCCTGTGCCTTCAAGGAGCTGCCAACCTGTGGTGGGCCTTACTAAGCGTTCTTCAGACTGGTGGCTAACAGTCTTTTATCCTTTTTGGCACAAAGCCCAAATCAGAAAAACCAAAAAATATGTGTGGTTTGTGTTTTTAAGTTAAAAAATGAAGAACTTTACTTGGTCCTGGAAAAGAGACCACTTTACTCATGAGAAAAATGAGGCCCAGAGAAAAGATTTGCATAAGGTCTCAGAGCAAGTGAACAGCAGAGCTGAAGCAAGAATTTAATTCATTCCACTCAGGGCTTCCCATCCCATTTACCGAGTGTTCCTGTCTGCCAGGCATTGGGTTGTACAGGGAAGGCAAGGTAATGGGCCCGCCTCCTGCATAAATTGGACCTCCCCCGCTCATGGTTACAGGATTCACCTCAGCCTTAGCTGCACCAGGCATGACACACCCTGCAGCCTGGAGGTGCATCAGGCATTTCCTGGACTGCTCCGGCAGAGGTTCCAGCTGTTCTGTGCTACACCAACCTGACGTAGCTCCTGACACCCCAAGGCTCCAGCCTGCTGTGAGTCTGGCCTGGCCCAGGATGGACACAATGCTTACCCCTCCTTCCCCAGAGGCAGTGCTTTTGCCAGCCTGGGCTTCCACAGCCAAAACCTCAATGTACAGGGATTCTAAAAAGGCTACCCTCTGCCTAGCTTTGACTAGAGCAGGGGTGGGCAAACTTTTTGACTCGAGGGCCACAATGGGTTCTTAAACTGGACCGGAGGGCCGGAACAAAAGCATGGATGGAGTGTTTGTGTGAACTAATATAAATTCAAAGTAAACATCATTACATAAAAGGGTACGGTCTTTTTTTTTTTTTTTTTTTTTTTTTTTTTTTTTTTTTTTAGTTTTATTCATTTCAAACGGGCGGATCCGGCCCGCAGGCCGTAGTTTGCCCATGGCTGGACTAGAGCCTTTTTATTTTCCCGAGTCCCCTTGGTTTGTCTGAGCTACACGGCTGAAGTAGATCACAGACCATTCTGCAGGAACTAGGGGGTTGCATGGGTCAAAGGTCAAGGAATGCTCATAATTGTTCTAGAAGGAGTTTTCAAATAGTACACTTCCTCAACTTAAAGGCAGAATGTCTGCATATGGAATAGTGCTGGTTCAGGGAGAAGAATCTCTCTTCCACCCAAATTCAAAATGAGAAATAACCCCAAGTCATTCTCAGATGATGAAGTGGCAGCCCCTGAGTGGCCAGGAAATCAAGAAATGCAACTCAGAACTGCTGATAAATTACACCCAAGGCAACAGAACTGGGCAGTGGAGCTTGGGGCAGAAAAGGATCCTATAGGTGGCTAGTGAGTCTTAAACCCTGCCTTTTATGGGAACCCAAAGCACCTGGAAGATGAGAGAGACATACAAGCAGAGGAGATGGCAAACGTTCACAGAATGAATGCATACATGGTTCTTTCACACATTCTCTCCACCAAAGAGCTTTTCTAGATAGCCCAGCCCTCAGTCTGAGCTTCCAGAGCCCCTTCTGCACAGCTCTAGCACACTGTATAATAATTACCTGAGTACTCATCTGTCACAGTCATCCCTGTCTAATAGAGTCCAGCATGGTGTCTAACACCAGTGAGCACCACAAAATGGTAAATGAATGAAAGATGACCTGTTACACAGTGCTTTTATTTATTTTTATTTTTAAAATATATTTTTACTTGATTTCAGAGAGGAAGGGAGAGGGAGGGAGAGATAGAAACATCAGTGATGAGAGAGAATCATTGATTGGCTGCCTCCTGCACGCCCTACACTGGGAATCAAGCCTGCAACCTGGGCATGTGCCCCAACCTGGAATCGAACCGTGACCTCCTGGTTCACGCTCAACCACTGAGCCACACCCTCCAGGTGAGTGCTTTTAATTCAAAGGTGCAAGTAGGGACAGAGGTAAGCAGTAGCCATCTGAGGCTGGAGAAAAACAACAGTGAACAGACTAAAGAGGACTTCCCTTAACCAGTTTGAGGAAGAGTGCTACCCATCCCACACCAAGCCTGAAGGCTCATCAGGCACAGGACAACTGATCCATTCTATTACTAGGATAAGGAGACATATCTTATAGCTAAAACATATGTTCTCATACTTATCAAAATTGAGTATTACAACTCAACTTTGGGAAAGGGGAAAAGAGCAGGTTCACCTAAGTGAGCTAAGACTTGCTATTTCATATACCAGCTCCATCTCCAACTCTACCTCTCTCTTAGAAACCTACAGACTCAGAGTCACAATCCCAAGTTCAAAGTGGACCAAGTCTTGAGTTCCAATAGGAAACCCTTTTTAATCTATAAGGTATGTACTCTCAGTGTGAAACTTGTCAACTTACTTTTTCCACATCTAGATCAGCATCCTGCTTCTTCAAAAAACTGTAGAAGAAAAAAAAGAGACATCAAAAGAGAGCTGAGCACTTTGCCTGTTAAACCACCCACAAAACACGACCATAAAATTTCCATTTGCTACAAAAAATCATTTTGCCCACAATTTTTTTCTTGTTCACACAATTGTTGCAAAGTCATAGTTGCCACAAACACCTGCCTGAAACTGCAAAGAACTGGTCCTGTACCACCAAAAGAAGCTAGCATTAGATTTTAACTTTCAAAAGCCAGGAACGATAAGAATGGAGGTCTTAAATGAGTACACACACATACAAATACACTTTCTTCAGGGTATCTACAAGTCATCCATAGTTGGGACACACTAAAAGTGAGTTTTTGAGTTTTCTATGGTCTTGTTCAACGTACCTCTTGGCTTAAATCTCCACCAACCCAAGTAAATATCTGTCTCACTTCCTGACTGTGGGTGGGCCTCACTGTCAAAACAACCTTCTTGAGATGACCCCCATTTCTCATTAGCTGGGGTTCCCCTCTCTGGGAGGCTTGCCAACTCACCAGCCTGTACCAACCTGCCATGGAATGCTAGCTCCAGGATTACCTTAGAACCTCATGCCAAGGCCCTGGCCAAGCTATGTGCTAATTCTGACGGCACCCATGCCCACTTCACATTAATCTTTAAAGTGCTAGCAGGGGGGTGGCAGATTTCCAGTTTGCTTATACACTCTGTCTACAACCTGCCAATAGTATAGTACCTCATTTATTTTTGCAATTTTAGCTGTTTAAACAAAAATGTCAGTATAAATAAGGTGTCTAAAGAGAACAATAAAAATGGTTGAATGGAATTGTGTTGACAATAATATGTTTAGGGCAGAAAGTGAACGGTTTAAGGAATCTGAAAAACAAGAAAAAACAGAAGCAATTTTTCCTGCCTTAGTAGACTCAAACTTTGCTAAATATGATTCTTAGCTTCTTTTTTCTTGGTCCATGGTTTCAAATACCCCCATCATAAATTACTATCCCCATCAAAAGCATTCCCTCCATATATACAAAAGAGAATTTCTGTGCTGTTTCAAAGGATGCATAATTAACAGTAGTATCTTTGTTTTGTTTAATCAAAGATGACTCAGAATGTAGGGGGGGAAATGACCACGGGGAAGAGAATTAAAAACTCATATATTGTCTTTTGCAGATGGGCATTCAAATCATGAACTCACTGCAGACATGCAAGAGAACCAGCAAAGAGGCTGGAGGGAGAGAATGTGCTAATGAGCATGCCATGACAGCCTGTACCTTAGCAACCCATGTCACTCCATCTCTTTATTGCTCCTGAGACACGCTGTCCTGTCCTAACCAAGGAGATGTCACCAGACAATATATGCCTTTTCTTCTGGCTAACCCACTGGGAACTAGGTGTTGCCAAGCTGTAAAAAAAATGGGAATTCTCTCTGTCCAGAAATATTAACTGGTCTCCCGATAACTAGAACAGAGTAATACAGTACTATGAGAACTTTTCTCCAAAGGGAACAGATATACAGAGAAAGTCTGACTTCCATTCTTGCACTCTTCCACAGAGGTTTAGGAGGGTTGTCATTCTGATTTGTGGAAGAAAATTTTCTATTTGCAAGGTGAAATATTTCTTCACTGGCCACAGAAAGAGCAGCTGGAGAATCATTACCCTTTTCCAAAGTATTGGGGGAACTTAACATCTCTCATGCACGCAGCACAACTGCAACCACACAGGATGCCCAATTCAACAACAGGCTGTGAAAGAATGAGCCTTCACTTCACGGCACTTTAGCGAACAGTAACAAAAGGAAAACTGGAAAACCGTTTGGAGCTGCTGGCTCGCCACTGCACAAGGAATCTTACCCATATATGTATATACAGCATCATTTGATTTCTGTTTCTGGCTTGCTAAACAGATGGCATTAATTAACAAAAACAATATATATACACATAATTCTGCAGCCATAAGCCAGAAGGATGTCACAGCTTTAACTTCCAGACTCCCAGCAAGCACATGTGACCTTAGATATTTTTAGGCGCTGGCTCCATTGTGTAGGGATGGATGAAACAGAATTGCCTAAAAGTAAAATTCATATGGCAACCTCATCTAGAATGAAGAGTGGCATTTGTTTTAAAAACCAGGTATATCTTTCTTAAATAAAGGTTGTGTTTCTGAAAAGTTGGGAATAAATAAATTTTGGTCATGAAGTGTTTCAAGTGAAAAGAGGTATATTTAAATGACTCCTACATTTTAAAAAACAATTTTTAAAAAATTGACCAATTAGTCCTCAACTTTATCTTTATTTGAAATCTAGATGGTCGGAATATTCAAGTTTTAAGTTTCCAAGGCTTACGGCAAGATAGGCCTCCTCCACCCCCATATGTGTGTGTGTACAGATATAGATGTGCATATTTAGTTATACAGACATTAAAAATAGTTGACTATGTAATCAATTGTGAGATTGTGTGCATTTTCCATGCTTTTATTTTTTCTGCTGATGTGGTGCTGATGTTTTGCTTGAGAAACATAACTGAAGTGACAAAGATTCCTCAGGTTAAAAGCTGATGCATAAACATTGCAGATTTGTGACCTACTGCAGGAATAGATGCCAAAGGACAAGGCCCTGGCCAGAAAAGAACTACCGTAGTCCCCCCTTATACATGGTTTCACTTTCCGAGGTTTCAGTTGCCTCCAGTCCTGAAATACTAGATGGAACATTACAGAAAAAAAAACACACCCAATTCATAAGTTTTAAATTGTGCATCATTCTGAGAAGCCTATGAAATCTTGCTCCGTCTAGCCTGAGATGTGAATCATCTCTTTGTCCAGCATATCCATGCGATATACATTCCCCGCCTGTTTGTCACTTAGTAGCGACCTCAGTTATTAGATCGACAGTGCTTATATTCAAGTAATCCTTATTTTACTTAATAATGACCCCAAAGCGCAAGAGTAGTGGTGCTGGCAATTCAGATATGTAAAAGAGAAGATGTAGAGTGTAGTATGCATAGGAAGAAATAGCATATATGGGGTGGTTCCGGCATCCATTGGGGCTCTTGGAATGTATCCCCTGAAGATAAAGGGGGGCTACTGTATTCCTAACTATTTAGATCACATCAAACCCTCCATCTTTGGAAGAATATAGAAAGGTTTTTATTTTTAGAGAAAAATCTGAAAATAAAACCGAGAAACCCTCAACTTTGAGCTCACTCTTGATATGACCATCCCTCCAACCCCCACCACTCTTGTATTTCCAAATGCCTAGGGAACATCTCCAATGGTACCTACCAAAGGCACCTTATGACTGGACAGGGCAGGCAAAGGGATAAAGAGATCATGAAAGAGGTGTCAGCCACATGTTCAGAGAATGGCGAGAGGCTTGGTAATGCTACCGGATCGAGAGACGGGTAACAGGATGGTGGCGGGCTGGTGGGAGAAAGGCCGTAAACTAAGGTAGAGACCAGATCATGAGAGGCGGCATATGTCAGCTAAGAAGTCAGCCAGATAGGAGAACATTTTTGCTACCTCTGACCAGGTATTTTCAACCTGCCTCTATCCCAGGAAGAGGCAGAAAAATAGATGCAGCCCCAGCATATTCCTGGACTTAGCATCATCATGTCAATCTCACTAACCCTGCTGGGTCAGTATAATTTTCTCCTAATTGGTCTTCAGGGTCCAGGACAAAAATCACCTTTTCACTCTTGTTTCCTTTGGTCCCACTTCTATGCAGAACTAGATCTCCTCTCCTCTGTTCTTACAGCACTTTATTCACTACCTGTTTCACTGTCTCCCCTGCTTGAATGCCAGCCCGTCTTGGCCAGGACACACTGAGCACTGTGCTTCCACACAACTGGTGCCATTTCTGCTGGTGGCGGGGTAAGGATGATGAGGGGCCGTGACAGAGTAACTAATGAAGAAATAACTGACAGAAAGGAAAGGAGTGAAACTGCACTAAATCACGCCCACCCCATTCACCCCTGCATGTAGGAGAAGGGGTGCATGTTGGGAAGGAAGGGTATACCCACAAAGCACACACAGCATATCCATAACCAGAAGACAATCTTTTCTTTCAATTTAGTCCTGTGTCTTTAGATATAATTAGACAACAATGATCCAATCTGGAGAGTCTGCTGTTATAGTATTTTTAATATTCTCCAGTGTTTCCTGTTTTATTTTTAAAATGTGACTGAGAAACTGAGATTCAATACATTAGGGTCACAGTCACGTCTCATATGTGATGAAGGAGATTGAAGGGTGCCATGATGAATCCAAGAGTAGAATCACGGTCTGAATTTTGTTTAATTATTTTAAGAAAAAAAAGACTGAGAGAGAAATGAGGTGTACTTTTCTCTTGCCACAGATCTTCTCTATTCCCAATTCAACCCTTTTCACTACTTGCAAAAGATTTAAGATATTCATTGACCTGCCAAAAAACATCTGCACATTTCTAGACACGTCCTCACACATTCACATCTGAATGGCTTCTTTCTGCTCCAACGATCATGGCTCTATTCAATCAAAATTAAAGTGAGAACCTCAGAACTGTACGTGGCGTGATGTCAGTGGCGACTGAGGATAAAATAGTCATTTGATAGCAACTTCTATATAAAGCGTGTCAACGGGGGCAGTGTTCCTTCAGTTATTCTTAACTTAGGACCTAAGGCACAAAAAAGACCAGGCAGGGCCAGACTCTGCCACAATTCCAAAGAAAGCTGGGAAACACACAGAGTGCACACAGAAGCTCCTCAATGTTCTCTGGCGCGGGGTGGCCCCTGGCTCCCAGCCTGAAGCCCAGGAACAGGCCCATTCTCACAGTGGCCGCCCAGATGCCTCCACAGCTGCACAGACACGAAGTGCAGTGTATGGGACCAGCCACGCTCAGGGGCGCCACAATCTCCTGTGTGTCTGACAGTTGGGGCAGGCCTCAGAGACAGGACCCAGCTCAGAGAAGGTCCTTTGTTGTGGGGTATTCCTCATGGCTCTGTTTCCCTAGGAAAAATGCATTTTCCTCTAGCCATTCCTTCTGGGCC